AAAAAAATTCTAAAATCGAACAACAAAAACAAAAAGCCCCAATAGCCAAAGAAATACAAAGTAAAAAGAACATATCTGGAGGCATCACATTAACTAACTTCAAATTATAGTACAAGGCTATAATAACCAAAACAGCTCAGTACTAGTACAAAGATGGACACATAGACTAATCGAACAGAATAGAGAACACAAATAAAGCCATAGCTACAACAAAACCCTCTTTTTGACAAATTAGACAAAAGCATACAATGAGAATAGGATACTATATGCAATAAATGGTGCTGGGAAAATTGGATAGCCACATGCAGACTAATGAAATAGGATGCCTATCTCTCACCATATATTAATACAAAAGTATTAGAAGATCAGTGGAGCTTTCTCAAAGAACTAAAAGTAGATCTACCACCCAATCCTGAAATCCCACTGCTAGGTATACATCCAAAGGAAAATAAATCATTTTGTCAACTATCTGCATTCATTTGTTTATCCCAACACAATTCACAAATGGAAAGACATGGAATCAATCTACATGCCCATGAACCCGTGAGTGGATAAAGTATATATGTGTATGCACACACACACACATGCCATGGAATACAACCCAGCCATAAAAAAGGATGAAATAATGTATTTTTCAGCAATGTGGATGGAACTGGAGGCCATTATCCTAAATGACGTGACTCAGGAACAGAAAAATAAGTTATGCGTGTTCTTACTTATAACTGGGAGCTAAAATTTGGCTATTCAAGGACACACAGAGTGGTACAATGAACATTGGAGACTCAAAAGTGGGGAGAGTGTGAGGGATGAAAAATTACCTGTGAGGCACAATGTACACTATTAAGGTGATGGGTACAAAGCCCAGATTTCACCACTATATAATATATACATGCAATGAAATTCAACTTTTACCCATGAATTCTACTAAAATAAAACAATAAAAATATACATTGAACACCTCCTTTTTAAGAAACTATCTGGAAGCTGAGGAATATATTGGGGAAAATCTTACAAAACTGATGCTTATTCTTATAGGGTGGGTGGATGCAATAGAAACTCAGTGCTAAGTTGTAGTGACTGCTTTGAAGAAAAATAAAAATGGGCAAAGAGAAGAAAGTTAATGAGAGTTGGGGCAGGGTCAGCCATATTCTATTGCAAAGGATGATTAGATAAGGCCTCTCTGATGAGGAGATCTTGTAGCAGAAACCTGAATAAAGTAGAGACTAAATTGTGCAGATATCTGGAAAGAAACAGTTTAAGCAGAACAAAGAAAGACAGTGAAGATTTTGAGGTAGGATCCTGCTTTGCTAGTTTCAAGAAAAGAAAGTGGAGTGAGGGAGGGAGGAGAGTAGGAGATGCTAGGCTTTTCTGTTAATCCACTTCATTGGGTTTTTTTGTCATTCAAACAAGTTAATTTTCTCAAAGCACTTAGAAGAGTGTGCCACATGCAGTAAACACTGCCAGTGATAAGATTAATGTCCTGTGGCAACTTTTGTGTGAATAAATGTCATGTCTTTTCTTAAAAACCTTGAAGGACTCCTCAATATTTACAAAAAAAATTCAAACTCCTTTTCCTAATGGTAAAATGTATAAGAATTTTATCCCAAATATGTGATTTCAAAGTTAACATTTTAAAATTGCATACAGCCAATGTGGACTCTCTTTATCTCTCAAAGTTGCTGTACAGATTTATGGCTGTCCATTGCTGCATAGAAGTCCCCAGTGTACTTTATTTTTAATCCCCTATATTTTAGCCTCCCTTTGAGCTTTACCACCTCCATGAGATTATTTACAAACCCTTCTGGTTGCAGGGATCTCACCTACTTAGAATTCCTGCACCAACGACTAGGTTCCTAGGTCTGCTGTGCACCCAAGTTCCCCTCTAATTATAATCTCTCTGAAGCAGGGCTCTCTTTCAGAGTTCTCAAATATGCATTTCTAGAGAAATTCTAGAAAAATTATCTCTCTTTTTTTGTGGCCTGGGGGTAGGGGAGAGAGAGAGTGAGAAAGATTAATGTGTGTAATTACAGTTAATCCAAAATCCCCCAAATTATTGTCTAAGAAAATAACTTTAATATCTTCCCTGTGGAGCTGCTTGCCTGAGCTTGTGGTTCCTTGAGGGAGTTGGCACCAATTTACTGAAAAGCTCTTTAAATAATCTCTTCTGTGTTCTGAGCAGAATTGAGTCAAGGAAGGCTCTTTAAAAATGCTACTGGAAGGCTCAATTGTCAAGATGGTGTCACTCTACTACTTCTTGTTTGGATACCTGAAGAAGCCAAGAAGAAGGAAAATTTGTAGGGTAATTTATTTTCTTATCAGAAACTTGGTTTTGTAATTCACTTTGGCATAGGCAGGCAAAGAGTCTAGGGCTTGTTTCTTCAGATGGGTGAGTTACATGATGACGTACATTGTATTCCAGAGGCCAGGTGTGCAGAAAGGAGTTTAGAAGCCTGGGAAAACATCATCTCTAAGGCCACCATGAAGAAGAACTTGGTACAAATAGAGTATTTAGTTTTATTTTTGGTTTCAATAACCTAAGGTCAGTGTACATTTTGGTAGAATTTTGTGTTTGCCACAGAGATAATGAAATGTACTGGAAGGTTTATGGGCTTGTAGAACGTGAGAGTTAAAAGGCCTTGGCTTCTCTGAGTCTTAATTACTTCACTTTACCTGGTAGAACACAAACTTCTGGGTCAGCTGAGCTGAACTCTCATTTTGCTTATGCTCAAAGTCACATGCATGCCTAGCATTGTGTTTTTTTTCTTGATTACAATCTTTGGCTTGGGTAAGGCTGGGAAAAAGAGCTTCCTAGTTTTTTTCCACAGCCAACAAATATTGTTTCACACAGAATTTCGGGTTTAATACCAATTTCAAAAGCACAGCAATTATCAATGACATAAATACTTCACTACCTGTATTTACAGAGGCATTTATTTGAGGTCATCAATGTTTATATTGCAGTTTCAGCCTTCTAAATTTTTTCCATAACTTAAATTTATTTTGACACTTAAAATGCTATTTCCATCTTCTTTGTGTAATACATAATAAAAATATAAGTAAGTGGAGATGAGTTTCTATGTTTAGAAA